ACAAATAAAACCATGGCTGTGAAGTCGATTCTAACTCACAGCAACCCTGCAGGACAGGATGGAACTGCCCCATAGGGTTTCCAAGGCTGTAATCTTTAGGGAAGCAGAGTGCCACATCTTTCTCCCTCAGAGTGGCTAGTGGGTTCAACATGCTGACTTTCTGGGTAGCAGCCGAGCGCTTTGACCACTGCACCACCAGGGCTCCTTTTGATAATATAGCCAAAACTGTTGTTAAGGTCGTCCTGGGTGGTACAAATGGTTCAGCACTCAACTGCTAACAGAAAGGTTGGAGGTTCGAGTCCGCCCAGAGGCGCCTCAGAATAAAGGCCTGGCGATCTGCTTCCGAAAGGTCATAGCCTTGGAAACCCCGTGGAGCGCAGTTCTACTCTGCACACACAAAGTAGCCGTGACTCGGAATCGACTCGACAGCAACTAACGCCAGCAAATATGCTCCACAAGGGCAACGCAGGAGGACGACCTAAATTCCCTGGACGTGGCGAAGGCTGGCGTCCTCTGAGAGAGGAAGGGCGCTGAGTGGCAGCGCAGGGCTGGGAGGGCTTGGCACAAGGACTCACTGTCTGAAGGCGGGGCCGTAGGTGTAAGCCACGTTGCTGCTCAAGTTGTAAATAAAGGGCAGATGCTTGTGGATGTCTGCCGTCGGCCAGCTACTGAAGAAGCTGTTCAGTAAGCCTTGATCTGCACCTGGACCATTCACGAACACCAATAATAGGTTAAGACAGTCCAGTACAGGATGGGAACCACCCCCGTCTGTCAGTCTGTCCTACTGTGGTGGCCTGCACGCTGCTGGGATGCTGGCAGCTATGCCGCCAGTATTTCAAACACCAGCAGGGTCACCCACGGTGGGCAAGTTTCGGCAGAGCTTCCAGACTAAGACTCGGAAGAAAGGCCTGGCAATCTACATCCAAAAACCAGCCAATGAAAACCCTAGGGATCACAACAAAGCATAGGCCGAAACAGTGCTGGAAGATGAATTCCCTAGGTTGGAAGGCACTCAAAACACACAGTGGTCACAGCAATGGACTTGAACATACCAGTGATGGGGAAGACGGCCCAGGACCGGGCAGCGTTTCATTCTGTTGTATACGGGGTCAGCATGAGTCAGAGCTGACTCAACATCAACCAACAGCAACAAACCTGCATTATTAGTAGCAATTAAGGGTGGGATTGTACACATTCATCCATGATTTCATATGCTGCTGTTGTTGTTGCTGCCTTTGAGTCAGCCCCAACTCGTGGCAACCCCATGTACAACAGAATGAAACACAGCCCCGTCCTGCAGCATTCCCACAACTGATTGTAGATTGCACCATTATGATCCATAGGGTTTTCACTGGCTGATTTTCAGAAATAGATCTCCAGGCCTTTCTTCCTAGTCTGCCTCAGTCTGGAAGCTCCACTGAAACCTGTTCAGCATCACAGCCACACGCAAGCCTCCACTGACAGACGGGTGGTGGCCGTGCACGAGGTACATTAGCTGGGAATCGAACCTGGGTCTCCCACACAGAAGCCAAGAATTCTACCACTGAACTACCACTGCCTTCTGTTTGGAGACAGAGTTTTCTTTGTTATGTGAACAAGGTCATAACAGTGCAGGGTTCTTCACAAGCTTGATCACTTCTGAGTTATAAAAGGAGTGTACTAGACACAGGGACACACACAGGGGGCAGAAGACGCCGTGCGTAGACAGACACACACAGTGGATGCCCCTACACGCCTGGGCACTCCAAGAATGGCCGGTAGCCACTAGAAGCTGGAACAGATAAACAAGAACCGCCTGGAACCACGCCCTGAATTCGGACTTTCCGCTTCCAGAGCTATGAGAAATAAATGGCTGTTCGTAACAACCACCCACCTGTGGCATTTTTTTGTTACAGCAGCATTAGATAAACAAGACATGGGGAAACGGGGGCCGGCAGGGGGTGGGTACTGACTGACAAACAGCCCATTCTCTGCTGCAAATCCCCGAGTCCCTCGTTTACCATCGAAGCTGCCGTGGTCGGCGGCATGTCGCAGCAGGCGGCTATGCGTCTCGAGGGAAGGCTGGAAGACAAATACGCCACTGTTGAAGCAATCGGGCCAGCCGGGATCCGGGGCTGCGGACAGCTCCCCCCTGTCAAACAGCTCGTCGATATTGGACAGCACCTGGCGAAGAAAGATGTAGGAAACCTGTCCCAACATGTCTCCACCTCGGGTACACAAGTGAGAAATGAGACGGGAGGTTACGGCGGGCCAGACAAGTGTTCTGGTGGGTGGGAACTCGTGCCCAGTTCTTTTTTTTTTTTTCGTCACCCAGTATCAATATTTTGGGGATTTTTTTTTTTAACTGAGTGAAAATAGACACAGCAAAACACACCAGTTCAACAGTTTCTGCATGCACCATTCAGTGACATTGATTCTGTTCTTTAAGTTGTGCAACCATTCTCACTACCCTGTTCCAAGTCATTCCACCTCCGTTAACCTAAACTCACTGCCCCCTAAACTTCTCATCTAGCCTTTTGAGTTGCTATTGTCAATTTGATCCCATATACATAATTCTTTAAAAGAGTATAATGCTTAATTAAAGCAGACACTCTTTTATAATTTGACTAAATTCTTCCTTGGTTCAAAGATGACTCTAGGGGATAGTTTTGGTTCAAGCTTTAAAGATTTCCTCAGGGTCATAGTTTTGGGGGGGTCACCAGGTTCAATGGCTCCAGAAAGTCTGGATTCCATGAAAATTTGAAATTCTATGCTATATTCCCTCTGCCCCCTTTTGGTCAGGATTCTCCTATAGAATCTTTGATCAAAATGTTCAGTAATGCCACCCTGCTAACTCAGAACTGAAGCCACTCCTGAAGTCCACCTTTCAGACAAAGATTAGACAGGCGTATAAAACAAACAAGGAGGAATGTGCTTCTTAGTTCAGTCAAGTATAGGAGACCCAGTGGGCAACACCTGCCCAAAAGCAAAGACAAGAAGGCAGGAAGGGACAGGAAACCTGGACAAATGGATGTGGGGAACTCGGGGTGGAAAAGGAAAGGGGGAGAGTGCTGACACATTGCGGGGATTGCAACCAATGTCACAAAACAATTTGTGTATACATTTTTGGATGAGAAACTAATCTGCGCTGTAAGCTTTCAACTAAAATACAATAAAAGTTTTAAAAATTATTGATTGGGAAATTAACTTGCTTTGTAAACATTCACCTATAGCAGAATAAAATGTTTTAAAAAAATGGTTCAGTAATGTAGCCGGGCACCATCCAGTTCCTCTGGTCTCATGGCAAAGGAGGCAGTTGTTCATGGAGGTGCCCAATTTTTTGAGTGACACTTTTGGGTTTAGACTCAAAGGAGAAAACTTTGCGGGTAAGAGTGTTTCCAGCTTACTCAGCAATTGAAGTAGCGCGGTCTCCAAAACTAAATTACTTTCTTGAGGCTTTTAAGGTCCTCCATGGAATTCTCTTAATAGTATGCCATCCTCCATCCAGCCAACGTGACCAACGAAAAGGTAAATGCCGTCCACAGAGAGGAAGCGAGTCAGTACAACTATACAGCTGTCAGAGCCCTGGTGGCGCAGTGGTTAAGAGCTCAGGCTGCTAACCAAAAGGTTGGCAATTCGAATCCCCCAGCTGCTCCTGGGAAACCCTACAGGGCAGTTCTCCTCTGTCATGTAGGGGCGTTATGAGTCAGAATTAACTGGGCCACAAACAACACACACAGCTAAGACACCCGTGGAGTTCATTTCTGTCCCCAACTGGCCTCGCTGTCCTTAGCCGCCATCACCAAAACGCCACAGCTCCCGTCTCTGCTTTCTGTGCTTCTGAATTTGGCAATCCGGTTCACTTGGAAAAGCCCCGCCCCTCCTTCTAAAAATCACTCTGAGTTATCTGCAGCATAGATCCAGAAAGGAGCCTTGATGGCACAACAGTTAAGTGCTAGGCTGTTAGCGTAAACGTCGGTGGTTCAAACCCACCCAGCAGCTCTGAGGGAGAAAGACCTGGCGCTCTGCTCCCATAAAGATTAGAAACCCACTGCCATCGAGGCAGCTATGTTAATGAGGTGGGACTCAATCTACAGGATTAGGTTGTCTCTTGAGTCAGTCTCTTTTGAGATATAAAAGAGAGAAGCGAGCAGAGAAGAGAGACCTCTGCCACTAAGAAAGAAGAGCCGGGAGTGGAGCATGTCATTTGGACCCGGGGTCCTTGTGCTGAAAAGCTCCTAGACCAGGGGAAGATTAATGACAAGGACCTTCCTCCAGAGCTGACAGAGAGAGAAAGCCTTCCCCTGGAGCTGATGCCCCGAATTCGGACTTGTAGCCTCCTAGACTGTGAGAGAATAAACTTCTGTTTGTTAAAACCATCCACTTGTGGTCTTTCTGTTACAGCAGCACTAGATGACTCAGACAGAGAGGTTCATTAGCAAGGGGAGCCTCTGGTCCTCACCATCCCCCCTGAACTCACCAGCGTGTCTGCGTCCAGGAAGACGCACTTGCTGTAATGGGTGAGGGTCCAGCAGTGGAGCTTGGTGAGAGTGACCCCGAGCTCAGGTCTCTTCAGAAAGGCCAGGTGGATGTAGTCTGCGCTGTGTATCAGGTTCACCTCGATGACGTCATCGAACACCTTTGAGAGGATGACCCTGGGAAGACATGCAGCAGATCCTGGCAGAGCTAGGGAACAGTGTGCATGGGGCAACCCCACCTCTTCAGGGGGACACTGCCAACAGACACGGAGCACAGATTTAATCCCACACCTGTTACGGATTGAATAGTGTCCCCTCCAAAGTATGTGTCAGAAATTCTAACCCCTATACCTGTGGGTAGCCTTGGTGGCACAGTGGTTAAGACCTTGGCTGCTAAACAAAAGGTCAGCAGTTGGAATCCACCAGCCGCTCCTTGGAAACCCTGCAGGGCAGTTCTACCCGGTCCTGTCGGGTCACTATGAGTCGGAATTGACTTAACAACTCAAACGGTTTTAATTGGAGACCTGGCGGTACAGTGGTTAAGAGCTTGGCTGTTAACCAAAAGATTGGCAGTTGGGATCCACCAGCTGCTCCTTGGAAACCCTATGGGGCAGTTCTACTCTGTCCTATAGGGTCTCCATGAGTCATAATTGACTCAACAGCAGTGGGTTTGGTTTTTATGGGTGAATGTAATGCCATTTGGGAATCGGGTTTTCTTCGTTATGTGAATGAGGCCATATCAATGTAGGGTGTGCGTTAAGCCAATCAGTTTTGAGATGTGAAAAGACCAGATTAGGCACGGAAGCTAGCAGAGATGGGGGAAGACAGATGCCACGTGGAGGTCAGCAAGGAACGGAGGACCAGAAGCTGAAAAGAGACAAGGACCTTCCCCCAGAGCCGACAGAGAGCCTTCCCCTAGAGCTGGGGCCCTGAATTAGGACTTCCAGCCTCCTGAACTGTGAGAAAATAAATTTCTGTTTGTTAAAACTACCCCCTTGTGGTATGTCTGTTATAGCAGCTCTAGGGATTAAGACACCATAACACTCAACATGGTTGCCATGTTCGGGGTTTGTTTTCCACACACGGTTGTCTTAGAACTTTTCACTCATGCTCAGCGCTTACGAAAACTTGAAAAACAAGACAAACTCAACAGAACTGTGTTGAGATTCTGACTCATGGCGCCCCCATGTGTGTCAGAGTACAGCTGTGCTCCATGTGGGTCTTAGTTACCTAGCGATGCTCTAACAGAAATACCACAAGTGGATGGCTTTGACAAAGAGAAATTTATTCTCTCACAGTCTAGGAGGCTGCAAGTCCAAACTCAGGGTGCCACGCCAGGGGAAGTCTCTCTCTCTCTGTTGGCTCTGGGAGAAGGTCCTCATCATCAGTCTTCCTCTGGTCTAGCAGCTTCTCAGCACAGGGAACCTCAGGTCCAAAGGATGCACTCTGCTCACGGCACTGCTTTCTTGGTGGTATGAGGTCCCCATGTCTCTCTGCTCCCTTCTCTCTTTTATATCTCAAAAGAGATTGGCTTAAGACACAATCTAATCTTAAAGATTGAGTTCTGCCTCATTAACATAACTGCCACTAATCCTGCCTCATTGATATCATAGAGATTAGGATTTACAACACATACGATAATCACATCAGATGACAAAATGGTGGACAATTACACAATACCAGGAATCATGGCCTAGCCAAACTGATAAACATTCTGGCGGAACACAATTCAGTCCATGACAATAGGGTTCTCAGTGGCTGATTTTTCAGAAGGAGATTGTCAAGCCTTTCTTCCAAGTTGTCTCTGGGTAGAATCAAACTTCCAACCTTTTGGTTAGCAGCCGAGTGTGTTCACCATTTGCACCACCCAGTGTCCACACATGGGGTCACCATGAGTCAGAGTTGACTCAATGGCGATAGAAGTTCTTGGATGATGCAGAGGGTTAATGCAGAGGGTACATTCCCTCTGAAAAACAGGTGGGTAGAGAGGCATGAGCGCTGAGGAGGTAGAAACTAACAGACTTCCACTGCGATTTCTGTTTAGGCTGATTAGAAAGGAATCCTGGTGGCGCAGTGGTTAAGTACTCAGCTGCTCACTGAAAGGTTGGCAGTTTGAACGCACCAGCCGCTCTGAGGGAGAAAGACCTGGTGACCTGCTGCGTAAAGATTTACAGCCTTGGAAACCCTATGGGGCAGTTCTTCTCTGTCTTATAGGGTTGCTATGAGTTGGAATCGACTCGACGGCACACAACAACAGACTGATAAGATAAATCAGCATTTAGACCTAACTCAAAGTTTTACTCATTTATTTAGCACTGTTTCTTCCTTTCTTGATTAGTATTTCATTTTGCTTGAGTATATCCTAAAGTAATTTTCTCTCAAAGGTCAACGGGGAGTAAATTTTTTTTTTATTTTTGCATATTTAAAATTTCTTCATTTTGCTTTCAAAACATGCGAATTTGGCTGAATACAGAAGCCTCTTTTCAAACTTATGTTGCGCCAGAACTTTGAGACATCAACTTTGTCAACCCAGACTGATCCTGAATGGCATCTGGGACATTTTCTTTATCCTTGGGGCTCTGAAACGTCACCACTTTCTAACCAAGTTTGGGCTTTCTTTGTTCATTCTGCTCAACCATCAGGAACACTCGGCCTCAAATCCTTTCTCAGAGCCGATATACTACATGAGATCTCTTCTCTACTCCGTTCCCTCTGCTTCTCTTTCTTCCTGAAGCTTCCATT